AAAGGAAATGGACTTCCAGGAAATCCAGGAAGCTCAGAGAGTCCCAAAGAAGTTGGACCCAAGAAGGAACACACCAAGGCACATCATCATTACATTAGCCAAGATTAAAATGAAGGAGAGAATTCTAGAAGCAGCAAGAGATAAGGAGACAGTCACCTACAAAGGAGTTCCCATCAGACTGTCAGCTGATTTCTCAAAAGAGACCTTACAGGCGAGAAGGGGCTGGAAAGAAGTATTCCAAGTCATGAAAGGCAAGGACCTACATCCAAGAGTGCTCTATCCAGCAAAGCTTTCATTTAGAATGGAAGGGCAGATAAAGTGCCTCTCAGATAAGGTAAAGGAGTTCATCAACACCAAGCCCTTATTATATGAAATGTTAAAGGGACTTATCTAAGAAGATAAAAACATGTACAGTAAAATGACAGCAAACTCACAATTATTAACAACCACACCTAAAACAAAACCAAACTAGAACAGGAACAGAACCACAGAAATGGAGATCACATGGAGGGTTAGCAACTAGGGAGTGGGAGGAGGAGAAGGGGGGGGAAAGGTACAGAGAATAAGTAGCATAGATGGTAGGTAGAAAATAGACAGGGGGAGGGCAAAAAGAATATGGGAAATGTAGAAGCTAAAGAACTTATGACACACGGACATGAACTAAAGGAGGGGAATGTAGATGGGAGAGGGTGTGCAGGGTGAAGGGGAATGAAGGAGCAGAAATGGGATGACTGTAATGGCATAATTAATAAAATATATTTTAAAACAAAGCCTGTGGACTGGTCAAAACATTGAGCTGTGTTTAAATTTTATACTAATGTTTGAAATAAGTTCTACTGACTGGAATAAGGAATATTTTTTCAGCAATTTTGCCCTTAATATTTGCCTAGAATTAATCCTTTGAGAAATGGATTGCTACTCAATCCATGGACACTTGAAATCTTTTCTAGGACAGAGAAGCTTATACTTAATTGTAAAGGAGCACAGGAAGTGGAACCATTACACACTCAGAAGGGGAGGTCTGCGGAACCCATTTTTCCTGGTCCAAGTCGCCCACCAGGAGGAGACCCAGCCCAGGCGCAGATAACCGCTGCCTCCCGCCAGGTCTCTTCATAAGGCCTAATGAGGCCCGGAGTTGGGTTACTTCCTCAGTCACATTTGAAAGAGCAGACTGCTCCCTCACACTGCCCCCGAAAAGATAATAAGCAAGCAGAAGTGGTTGTTTACCACACTAACACTAGTGGCTCTAAAATTTTTACTTCCTGAAGAAGAATGTTTCAAACATAAGTAGTGGTAAATGTGACTCAATCTAGAAATGTAGATTATAGAAATTCGAGGGTGCCAAATTTATGAATTTATGAAGACAGTGAGCTATAGAGAACTGTCTTTAAATTTGTGTTCAAAAGCTATTATTTTAAATAAGCCATAGAGATGGATACAATGTTTATTTTCTAAATGAAAAAAATCATAAACAGACACTAATTCCCATTGCATCTTCTTGAAATTAGGATAGTTTCCATTTTCCAGGTATGAATCATATAAAATCAAAGTAATTCCAATCAAAAGCTGGTTCCTATAAATTTTTTTATAACTTCATGTTCCACAAACTCATCTGATAACGAGAGAGACTGGGGCTGAGTCTCAACTGATAACGAGAGTTACTATAAACTTTCCACAGACTTAACGTTTGAATATAAGGAAATAAATAAATAAGGACAAATAGATTTTTACTTAATATTGAACAGGGTTTAAAAAAAACGAGAATTTAAAAAGCCAATTTTTGCTCACTTTACTATGACTCTCCTACCAACTAATGTGACTAAAAGGCAAATAGTAATAGAGTCAGAAAAAAAATCATTCTTTTTTAAAATGCTCTGTATAGAAAGAAATAGGGGTAAAAGTGACGATCCTCAAGGAACTCTTTGTAGAAAGAGAATTAGTGAAGTCCTTTTTATGAAGAGGCCACAAGCATTAATACCAACTTTTCGTCACTAAGAGTCATTCTGAGCCAGCGTCCTGTGTTCTAAGCACCTTGTTCAGTGGAGACAGACGGACAGAGTGTGCACTACTCACACACGAGGACAGTAAGAAAACATCGCCCGGTGCAGCAGAACCACAGAGCTGATCAGGAAGACCCTTCGTGTGTATCGTCAGCACGCATACTCATCACCTTTGCATCCAGAGAGAAAGATCCCCGGCTTTATTCTTCTGCCTTGATAGGTTTAAGAGAGACCTAAATGCAAAGCTCATCCTATGGGCTAATACATTGGAACAACTGTTACTTATTTGGAGTGCTGAAAAGAACTGCCTTCTGGGGAAGTCACCACGCAGCTTTCCTTGAGCTCTGGACTTGCCAAAAAACACTACTGAGGAAAACCGTTCATATACATTTTCTTCTTTTACTTTTTCTTTTCAAAAGTACTGCTAATCCTTAAAAAGAAAAAGGAGTAAACTATTTTTAATGCAAATCTTTCCCCTAATATTAACAAAGAAGGTCCTAAAAATCTAAGAAAGCATCATAAAAATAAAATGTTCCAGAAAGTTCATCTGGTTCATTATGTGCCATTTTCTGGTTTCTTTCAAGTCAGCAAAGTAACCCAGGGCAAGAACTGATCACGTTCAGTTCCTCCCATTTGTGCTAGCTTCCTCACGAAAAGCATAATTGCTTAAAAAGTAAAAAACTAAGGTAATTTTCAAAAGAAATCTTAAAACGAGATTTAACAACAAAAATAAATTCTTTATCTCATAAAGGTTATTTATTTATAATTTCCTTATATCCTTTCAAACATCTGTGCAAGACAGTTTTAAAGGTTTTTAAAGTATTTAATCCGACCTCGTCTAACATGTTCTCACTCCCTGGCCTTTGTACAGTTTCCACTCCATGTCATGTCCACACATGAGATTTTGCACAGGTAACAGAAAACTGTGCAAGAACAGATGAGTGTTCTTTTGATTAAAGAAAAGTAGAAACCTCAAACTTGAACTTATAAAAACTGCAACATAATGAATCATTCTCAGATCAATCTGTTCTGTTTTTAAACAGATTTCATCAAGAATGCCTCTTCTCTCAAGAAAAATGTTAAATTAAATTATGAACATATAGCTGCCTTCATAGCTATCCTACACAAACATGAAGGCCGACTTGTGGTTTGTACCTGCTGAGATTTTTATCACGTCTACAAAAGCAATGACACTGCCCTCTATCAAGTGTCCTGATGCCTTTACTTGGAGTCGCCCCCACTACTGCTAAATTCGGAGACAGTCCTTTGCTGTCTGAAGCTGTATCACTATTTATAGCGTTTCTTCTCGATTTCCACCCACAAACCTTTCATCTTAAATGTACTAGTCCCTTCTCTTAAATAACTGTTCGTACATGCTCTCCCCGACGCTCAGGCTTTACAAAGCAAACCTTGCCTCAGCGAACAGGAACTGGTTTCTTCTGGTACCCACGCGTACAGGACGCTAATTCGACTACTCCAAAATGTTTGTTTCCTTTTGAAACTAACTGATCAAACACCCCAAATAACACAGCCATGATCTTGTTTACTCATACACTGACATAAAAGCACTACCAAAATAAATTACCGTATCCATTAATGTTACGGGTAATTAACTGGGGTTCAAGTCTTAAACTGAGAGAGGCACACAGCTGAAAATCAAGTCCATCTATTGGCTAACATGTCTGCTAACAGCAATTCGGACATTTAAATCTATTCTGACCAGACACTGTTTCCCTGGGTCTAAAGGCCCACTCATCCTACTGCTGTGATATCCTCAGCCTGCATGATAAATTGCAAACCAGTGCATTACTCTTGGAAAAAACCGGTTATGACAATTACTACTACAGTACATTTATATACAAGCTTAGATTGGAAACAAGTCTGCCTTAAGCAGAGTCAAGGGCAATAACACAAAAAACTCCAAGTTCTTCATGAAGGAAAAGCACTTAGGTCCCCAAAGCCCCACTGCTGGGGGCTCATGTTACATGACTGTATACTAGTTTGAGTCGGTCTGGACTTCAGGAGAGTTTACAATGCAAGGTGAGACTAACAAATGCTGTGTAGCAAGATCCAGCAACTCAAGAAAAACTTCCAACAATTACCAACTAAAGATTAGTTGAGGTGTTTCAGAATATTAAAGCTCTTCCAGAACACACACGCTAAGAAAGAGTCCGAGATATGAAAGAGCTTGTATGTGTATATGAATCACATACAAGGAAAGAAATTACCGCAAGTGCTAGACTCTAAAACAAAATCAAACAGACTGAAAGGACAAAGCCTGCGCCATTTGCTATCGTGACGCCATTTTGCCAAGCAGGCCTCTGACCTTGTTAAACAGGACTGCCATTTTACTGTTAGGAGCTTACGTCCCCAGGACTGAAAAACATTGGTGCTCGAAAGGAAGAACAGACCATGACCAACCACCCCCCACAGCCACAGGCAAAAGACCACAGAGGAGCAAACTGCAGCTTCTGCACAACCACCTGAAACCTCTGGGTTGCAACGCCCCCAGCAGCCCAGGCGCCACCCAACAGCACCGCACAGCCCCCCCATGATCCAATTATAATCCACTAAAAGCCAAGGGCCCCACCCCTCAGTGCTGGTGCGTCCCTCCGCACCTAGCCCTTTCCCCTTCTTGGGAAAGTAAAATACAAGCTTGACTCTGTACTTTCTCCTCTTCGTGAATTCTTTCACAGTCCGCATCACCGACCATGCTGACAGATTAAATCACACCTGGCATTAAATCTCTTCATCTTTATTCTTATTGTCAAAAGTCCCTTTCCCAAAGTATGAATTTATGACTTATTTTCCTTTAAAAAAGAAAAGTACTTTCCTCTGTGTTAAATGTAAGTGGATTCTGAATTTTGAGACCAAAGTTCACTGTAACATGATTTTACTACATCTTAATCATTTACCTGAATAGAGAAAAAAAGAATGACATTCCTAACTCTTTTAATATGAAGCTCTGGGTACGTCAAAATGAAAAGCAAATGGACTTACCTTCAGAGAATCAACTAAATCGTCCACCAAGAAGAGGCGCCTGAGTTCCCTGATCGTGTAGTTCACGTGGCCCAGGGCAGAGTTGCTGTACTTCTGAACCAGCTCCTCGGACAGCGCCACGTCGGATTCCAGGTACGCCCTGGAAAACACACCCCCCGCAACCGTCACCGATCGGAGTGAGCCTGCCCTGCGTGTCTGCGTTCAGCAATCACATGTCTGCAACATAAGGTATTTTACCATAAAAGCCTTGGGTTGTCAAATTAAGCACAATGTAAAAATTCACCAAGGAAGGGCTATTTCAGTGGTACACGCTGTCCGCTGATAAGCACAGAAAAAAGATGGTTTGAAGCCAGACTGACCTGACCTTGACTCTTAAGGTCTGCCACTTCCTTGGCAGTGTAACTTTGGAAAGTTATTTAGTCTCCCCTCTAACCCTCAGTTTCCTCATTTATAAAATGGAAATTATCACGAGGATTCAATTAGTAAAGTGCTTACCACAACCAGACACAAAGAAGTATCAATAAATAGTAGTCATTATTGTGGATTTGGTTTTTTCTTCAAGTGGACACTATCTTGTTTCACGGAGTTTTCCTAGCAGAGATCCCGTTCATTCCAAATACTAGTCTCCCAGCCCAGTCCATAGGGGAACCTGCCCCAAATGTTGAGCCCCAGGCTGTGAAATGGTGTCAACAGTAGAGTGGCAACCCCAGTAAAACAGAACAGCTACTGTACATTTAGATGCCCCACTGTACACTGGGAATAGCTGGAAGTCTTCAATTCAAGAAGAACAACTCTAACTGGAGGGTCACAGGGCAGTCGAGTCTGCATTAATGCAAGGAACTGCTTCATTAGTTATGTTTCAAAGAAGCCATTTTATCTTGGCAAAGTAGGACCAAATCGGAAGTGCTAAGCATTCTCCCAAATCTGTTGGAAGTAGTTCCTAATTCAGCCACTCCTCATGACTTCCCCACGTCAGTAGTCATTATTTGTCTTAAAAATGACATTCCTCTTTGATAACTCCCTTTTCTCCATAGTTTTACCTCTACACTATGCCCCAAAGAGGTCTCATTTCTGTAGTCACTATGCATCGTTTTATTCAAGTGCTTATTGTTTACAAACTGAAATATCCCATCAGTCTCCAAACAAGCCCCTAGGTGGTTAACATCCTACTCCGTTCCCTTCAGCCAATGGAGTGTCAGTTTTATTTGAGCTTCCTAGACAGTGCTCCTGAGGCCGCACAAGCAAGGTAAGTTCCCTGGGTCAGAGCTCCAAGTCTGTATACAAACTGGAGAAAGAGACCTTCCTAAGTCCCTTCAGGCTCAAACATTCTGTGATTCTATGGTTCCAACCTTCTTCCAACCAGAGCCCTCTTCCTGAATCTTTCAATCTTATTTTCCACTACTGACTATATTGCAGCCAAAATGAACCATTCATCCAGCTTTTTTTTTTTTTTTTTTAAGAGAGAGGGGACGGGAAGGAGAAAGAGTGGGAGAGAAACATCAATATGTGGCTGCCTCTCATGTGTCCCCTACTGGGGACCTGACCTGCAACCCAGGCATGTGCCCTGATTGGGAATCAAACTGGTGACCCCTTGTTTCACAGGCCCGCGCTCAATCCCCTGAGCCGCACCAGCCAGGGCCCCAACATTCTTCTTAATCTTAATGCCTTTGTTGATCACAGCTTTCCCAATCCACAATGCTCTCCTCACACCTGGTGGCATCGTACCCAGTCAGTTGGCTCCATCTCAAATCCCAGCCATACCTGAAGCTGCTTTTGCTCTCTCTTCCCCTAACCCTATTTGTAACTCTAACAATGCTTTGTTTTGTGTTGTTCTTGCAGTATTTACCATAACCAGCCCTGAAACATGGACATGTGTATACATGTATATTTTTCCTACTACAGTATAAACTGTTATGGACCAGAAATATATCTTTACTAATACAATGGTCTAGCACACTGTTGTTATTAATGAACAAATATTAAACTATTACTATCAGGTTAAAAATAGTCTAAGATTCACAATTCCCCTAAATCAACAGTAAGGAGTTCATGCAGCTTTGAGAAATGCAGAAAAGTGGCTGACAGAACTTTGGCTGCCATCCTGCTTCTCTGTGCCACCGACGCTGTTCTCGCTGGAGACGCGAAGCCTGGTGCACGGGCACAAAGGCGGCAGCCCTCTCCACCAGCGGGCCTCCGCATTTGTCCAGCTGGCACTTTTGTGCTGTTACTGCACTGCCGTCGCCCTCTTCCAGTGACCGCAGGACACACACACGCTGCACGACACCGTCTTCTCTAATGTGACTAGAGAAGTTGGAAACACTGTCCAATAGGCTTACACTGGCGTGTCAGCTAAATTTACTTTATGATGACGTGTAATGACCTATGCTTAGAGCTAAGAATAAAGTGCTTCTAAGGAAATAAAGAATATAGAGCCCTGGCTGGTGTGGCTCAGTGGAGTGAGCACTGGCCTGAGATCCGAAAGGTCACTGGTTTGATTCCCAGTCAGGGCCTGTGCCTGGGTTGTGGGTCAGTCCCCAGTTGGGGGCATGTGAGAGGCAATCGATCAATGTTTCTCTTCCTTTCTCCTTCCCTTTCCACTCTCTAAAAAGTAAATAAAATCTTTAAAAATATATAATTAAATATTAGTAATTTTCTCTAAAAGTCTTCTTTAAAATCCAATGATGTATGAAATTTATATTGTAGATAATTTAGAAGTTTTGCCGTGACAATGTTTTTATATATTTCAATATAATAAAAACCATATGCCTTTATGACTTATGCAGTCATACGGCTCTGCCATGTTAAAGCTGCAATTTCAAGCTCCTAACTTCAAGTTTGTTTCCCCCTCTGCAAAGTGGAGTAATACCACCCATCTATCTTCAAGCTGCCTGTACATAAAAGGCCAGACACATAAGAGCCATTCAGTAAACAATGGATTCTCCCCCGAAATTATGTAACATTACTTCATCAATATGTAGAGAAGGCTAGAGAGAAACAAATCATCAGTCTTTACACTAAGCAAAATAATGTAGTAGGCCTCTTCCTGTAAGCTGTGAAAACCAATGAGGCCTGCCCAGTAACATCAACTGGATAATGTTCTAGGTAGTTACATACATTCATGCCCAAACAGATACTTTTCATGTCAAAATAGACTTTTAAATGTTCCCAACCTATTTTTAAAAGCTGAGCACATGCGGAACAATTACGGAACGTTTCAAAGCCATACTCAGTGCAACAGGAAGTTAACTCTCAGGTCATCGTGAGCCAGCAACAGCTAGGTCTTGAAACCAAACACAGAACCAAAGAGAACACGTGACAGACTGGGGCGTCTGGGGAGCTGAAAAGGTGGCAGCAGCATGAAAATGGGCACAAAACCCTGGAAGGGACAAATGAGACACATGACAAAGATATCTGGATTTCATGCTGTAATGAACATGTGATACAAGTGCCGTTTGAGGGAAACCCAGCCGCCAACGTGCGCAGAGTTGAAGTGATCTGCGGTGCCCAGAAACCGGCTTGGTAACACGTGAGGCTCAGCCCGGGGCGGGGAAGCTGCTTCTGTGAAGGGCCAGGCAGTAAAGACAACATTTTAGGCTTTGAATTCCACATGGTCTCTGTCACAGCCACTTAACTCTATTGCAGCGTGAAAGCCGCTGAGTGACTGAGTATGGCTGTGTTTCAATACAATTTCATTTACAAAAGCTGGCAGCAGCCAGGATTTGGCCCAGGGCTGCCATGTGGACTCCTGGTCCAGACTGAAGGAGAGGAGAAGCCACAACATTTAGTTATTTCCTTTACTATGAAATGGAAAGAAACAAAGATAACATTAAAACTAGGATCCTGGTATCAGGATTATAGTGGTGCTACTGATAGAAACTGACAAGCTTGAGGGAAAAAAGGTTCATTTAAAGACATGATGAATTAGTGGCCGTCAGGGGCAGGAAGGGCAGTGACCGCTAAGGGGGAGGAGGTGTTTTTGGTGTGAAGAAAATGTATGGAATTATATGGTGAAGTTGTACAATTCTGTGAGCATACTAAAAAAACTCCCTGAGTTTTATGCGAATTATATCCAGTTTTTAAAAAGGGGTGGAAAAACGTGCTAAGCGTGAAGTGAGGCAGAAGGGCCAAGTAAGGTTTGTACCAGTCAGCAGTGAGATACATGACGCTAGTACGTGTACCTGTAAAAACAAAGGTGGCGGATGAAGGTTTAGCATCAAGGAGATGCTGAAATAAAAGAGCTCTCCTAGGAAAACACCAAAGTAATGCCTTAAGGAATGAGAAAAAGAAACTAGATAGAGAAGGAGTGGCGAGAAGAGACACAAGCATGACGAGAGAGCTAACAGAAAAATACAAACATACCATTGGAAAGAAAGATACTTCTAATAATCAGATAGTATACAATGTAAGCAATAAAGAAAATATGCTCACCAATCAACTAGGAGGGGGACCCCAAAAACAATTTATTTATTAAAAATTGTATATTTATTCTTCCATGTTTAAACGTCAGTCACCTTCAAAGTACTATTTGATGCAATACACCTATTAAAACTTTCTCCACTGCTTAAAACAGTTTTTAAACTCATCAATTTTGAGGCCTTTTCGTGCTGCTGTTTTTTTTTGTTTCACCTCTTCCACATTGGCAAAAATGTTTCCCTTTGAGGACTTTTTTCAACTGGGGAAATGAAAAAAAGTCGCTGAGGCAGGATCAGATGAATAAGGAGGGTGAGCGTGGGGGTCACGCTGTGTCGGTCAGAAACTGCTGAACACTCAGCAGGGTGTGGGCAGGGGCACTCGTGAATTTCCCATCTGTTCAAAAAGTCTTAAAAAAAAATTCACTGAAGCTGACCACAGCCTCTCACAACACCACCAGCAGGTACACTGATACACATGGGTTCCCAGCACACTCACCTAGTAGGGAAGCCTGTACTACAAGGGGCCCGCCCTCCAGAAATTAATTCTATTTTTTGAGGGTCCCCCCCTCATGTTAAAAAAATGTACTTCCATTACAGTAAAATTAGCAAGCAATCCCTACTTCTAACAAACATTACTACTAAGTAGTAGAGTTAGACTCATGATATACAAACCCAGTGTTTTACACCATGAACCTATGAAATGACCTTTAGGAAATCTTGAAAGCCGATAATTTTGGTATAGCTTTTTAGCAAAAATGCGATTATCTCTAAGCAGTAAAAAAAATGCATGCCTATAACTACAGGTAGTAGAATGAAGTCTTAACATAAATCTGGTTCACAGTTTTGCCAAAGTTTGCCTTGCTTTCCAGACATCTCACCTGAACGGGTGGCCTTCATCTGACTTCTGGATGGCCTGGATCACACCCTTATACACCCTAAAGCTGATAGTCACCGAGAGCAGGGCCAGGGCAATGTAGGCCGTTACACTCACAATGCTGAACACTGTCAACGAAAGCAGCAGGAACAAGCTGGCACCAAACACCACTCCAGTCTTCTTAATGTCTCTCCAGTAGAGGAGGTCAACAACTGAAATGTAAAAGAAGAAATCTGACATTAGGACATTATTTCAACCATCTGAATTTGGCACATTTATATTTGCTCCACCCCCATACATAAAAAAGGTCTCTAGATGAAGTAAAGCCAAAACCTAAAGATTAACCTTAGACACTATTTTAAACCTGCTCTAAGTTGTATATTAGAATAATACCTGCATCTATTTCTGTTTATTGTAAAATTTTTTTCATGCAAATCTATGTCCTGCATGTCCAAATCATTCTGGCTATAAGGTTTATCAAATCAGCCCTGGCTGGGCGGCTCAGTGGGTTGCAGCATCATCCTGTTCACCACAAGGTTGCGGGTTCAATTTCTGGCCAGGGCACCTACCTAGGCTGCAGATTCCCCAGTCAGGGTGTGTACAGGAGGCAACCGACTGATGTTTCTATCACATCAGTGTTTTTCTCCCCACCCCACAAATCAATAAATATATCCTTGGGTGAGGACTGAAAAAAAAAAAAGTGTATGAAATCTCAAGCCCACCCTAGCAGATTTCTAATAATCCAAAACAATTTTTTCTTAAAAGTCATCTTGAGGTTTTTGTTGTTATACAACGCATGGCATACATTCAAATAATAGAAAAGAGAGCTTAGCATACAATCACTAAAATGACATACTTCAGTGACACAAAAATGTATTTATTTGCAAAAACAAATCACTAATTTAAAAAGTGCTGAGAAAGTAAAACTACTAAAATCTCTGAGTTTTACAGCTCTGCTTTTTAAGAGATCACCCAAAATTGTAACCTAACCTGGCCATCATAAAAACAAATATTTTCTACAAAGTAAAAGGGGGGAAAGAAAAACCAGACTTTAGACTACCTGAAAAGCTACTTTCCTCTAGGAGTAGATAAACATAATGCCATAAAAATTTGGGTGTAAAAGAAAAACCAAGTGTTACACGGTTATATAATGTTTATTAATAGTAAGGAGTCAGACAAGCTCTTGGACTGCGGTTACCAGGCCGCTGCGGGGGTCAAATAGCCGTGGGACTGCGGTCAGTCACAAGGTTGGTCGGGTGCAGAGCGCCAAAGGGCTCCTGAACTCACGAATGAGACACAGCTCATCTCTCTCTGGGTTGGAAACAACTGGGTACAGGGAAGAACATTCTTATAGTAGAATAAATATGGATATCGCCTTGAGTACAATTTTAAATGCCTGCTAATTTTTAAGATAAAGGAGGTAATGAAAGTCACATTTCTCGGGGCAGCTTCTGTCTTGCTCATCAGGTCCTCTCAGGTATCTGACTTGCCTTTACTGTCAGGGGTACTTCTGTGGGGAAAACTGTGTGTGAACTCTAAAACGTCACATACTCTTACGGAGCCCTGAACTCCTGTCAGTATAGAGCATGTGAGCACTGACTAAGGTATTTTCAGTGCCCATCATAGTGTCTGGCACATAACTCAGCCACATTTATTATGTTTCCAGGACATTTTATTCCATTCTCCTATACATTTGATTTGAATGCTATTAATTTAACTTTCTATACACAATTTAAACCTTTATTTCCCAACTCTGATTTCCACTATTTATTCAAGTTTTCTCTATCCCAAGTTCATTCCAACCCTGCGTAAAAATATCTACATCAGTTTTGTCGATTCAAATACTTTCTACTATTATACCAATATACTAGCAGAACTGTGGGCTGACCAGAACTTGAAATAGTGTATCTGTGTGGTTAAAATGGAATCATGAATAACGTCATATTGAATAAGGATATAACAGCAATGCTAATAGTTTTCTGACATTCAGCAAACACTGAGCAAATACTAGTCAAGAAATGCCACCTAGTAGAATAAATTAGCCTCAGAGTGGGTACGTGAACTTTTCCTTAAGGACCTGTTCAGCTGTAAAGCACGACAATTCTAGGAAGATGGTAAGACAATAAAAATAATGTTAACGAAATTATCAAAATAACTGCACTCTTGTGAGAATTCAAAAAAGGAAAAGAACTGAAGGAAGTTTTAAAACTTCATGGAAGAGAAATTGAGGTATATTTTGAAGGGGCTGGCTCCAGAAAACCTGAAGGTACAGGCCTAATTGTAAGCCTCTGCTAGCAATGGTTCTAATAATTAATGTAGTTTTTTTTTTTAAAACAGGCTACAGTGAGAGGGGGGAATGCAGTGAGAAAGACAAGCCTTTAGCAACATCGAGTCTTCCTGAGAGGCTCCCTCTCGGCGCCCAGGCACGGCATGCACGCGGGTGCTGCTCGTCTGTGCTCAGACGCGGCTCAGACGCAGCTCTGCAAATTTGCCGGCAGTGTGACCTCGGGCAAAGCCATACATCCCTCCACACTTCGGTTTCCTGGTCCTTAACAGGCGTATACAAATAAGAATGATCTCACTTAGACGTGGTGAGGATTAAGTGAGATAATGAATTAACAGAATTTTCATTAATAAAATAATGAACACAATGTGCTCAATAGAGTTCATAGCACGTAATAAATTCAGAGTAAATATCAGGGTTATCATTACTTGTTGTTATTATTAGGAATACCACCACAATCACCATTACCTTTCCTGTCCAGGTATTTAAGTAGTAAGTATATCAAGAAAAATTACAGAAAATCTCAACCTTATAATTTACTTATAAGTGAATAAATCCTGTTGCTATGTTATATCATAAACATGTTACTTTATAAGGATTTTAAAACTTATCTGAGTTTTCAGCATAGGGCAAATAAAAGTTGAGAACCTGCAAGAATCAGTAAGTAAAGTATACTTCAAAACTACTTTTATATGAACAAATGTCCCTTCATAAAAATACTTGGTTATCAAAATGCTCCAAAACATTTATTAACATTCAAAATCACTACTATTGGTGTTAAGTTAAAATAAATGTAGATATTTTCATTATTCCTTACAATTATTAAAAACTACTCATGAAATTCAATGACTTTAGACTTGAGAGGAATGCACAACATAAATTATTATCTAACCAAATTGCCTAATATAGTAAGAGTTACTGTCCCAACAGTTTCAACTGATTAGGTAAGAATTATCTGTCATTAGTCTATGATTTCTATATTGGTGGATATGGTGAAAAGTGTCTGTGACTGGAATTAGAAAGACTCACATCAGGACTCACTCTGCACTTGTATAACTTTGGTTGAGACTCCAGTATCTCCAAGACCTCAGTTTTACTATCTGTAAATAGGGCATTAGGTAAATGATTTTTCTTTTTCCTTCAGAAAATATCACGATTCAGAGATACCACACCAGTTGTGCAAATTCCCAATCAGTAGGTCCAAATCAATGAGATTTCATTGCTTTATTATCTGTGCCAAACATAATTTTAAATAGTTCCTTTTTTAGATTTAGGTTTTTAGGGGAGACTTACATATTTTTAATTAATAAAATTTAAAATATGTAAAATTAAAATTAATTTTAAATTAATTTAAAGTCTTTTGTAATTAATCTTCCTAGAAACACTGTGTCAAACACTATTAAAATTTTAGAAAAATAAATTCATACCTAAGTTATAAACTATATCTATCATATGGGAACACTATGAGAGTGGCTAAAAAACAAAATAAAAGGATTGAAAAACTACATACTTTTTAACCCTGACAGATGATTCAGAAATGTTTTCCTGATTGCCATCTACATTCTCCACACCTCCCTCTATTTCCCAAGTCAGTCTTTCCTGGGCCCTTACATTATGCTAAATACTGTTCGCATACTACACATTATCTTTCGATTATTCAAATCCTATGAGACAGGCTTTCAGACATAAACAGTGAGACTCAGCTCTTACACAACAGAATCAACTAATAAATGGAAAAACATGGATTTTAACACAGGCTTCCTACTCATAAAACTCGTACTCTCCATGTATGATGCCAAACTGAAGGCTCAGTACATTAAAATTCTTCAAAATGTTACACACTTGTACACATAATGAATAGGAAGGGTAGAGGCAGACAGTTATACCTGTGAGATGAATCACAATGCAAAGAAGAAAGTCATTGTAAACAATTTAACAGGACAGCTTAATTAATAAGGGAGATATAAATTTTAATGTGAACACTTCACCTACAGTTAAATCCAAAAATGAGAAAAAAAGCTCTACTCCAATATACCTCACTGGTATTTTCCCATAGTAGAAAACGATAATCAAGTCGTTGAAAACATCTCTTAAAAGCCCTCTGACTCCAGTTTAACTAGGGTGTATCTATGCAAAGGAGTATTATGCAGCCATTAAAAGACAGTGATGTAGCTCTCTATGACCACAGACACATGCCCATAATAATAAATGGAAACAGAATGTTACAAAAAGAACCATATGGTATAATCCCACTTAAAAATTATACATGTAGACCTATTAAGCATGAAAGGATAGCTAGTAAATAGTTTTTAGAGTAAATAGTAAATAGTTAGCAGAGTTATGGATGAACTTAACTTGATTCTTCATTCCCATCTTAAACTGTTCCCCTCCAACGGCCCCATGAATTACTACTGCAGTATTAAAAATGTAGTCCTTTCTATTCCCATTTGATACTAAAGAATCTGATAACATGAGTGTGGTTTTCTCAGCAGGCTTTCCTATTGGGAAGAGAATATACTGTCTGCCAGTTTAATAAATATCTGTACTTAGATCCAGCTAATAGTTAAAATTCTAACAGTTCATAATTAAGTTGATAATTCTGGTGCTTTGGGATGAATCAAGTCAATTTCCCCAAAGTTGCTGTTACAGGAATAGGCATGTATATAGTCCAGCATCATAAAACCTAAAATAAATTTAACTGCATGAAAGTACAGCAAACCCTAACCTATTACTTCATTTTTACCTATCATATGGCTCCTTAGACATAAGGTCTTTCCAATAAATGAGAGGTTTCTGAAACGCACATATGCAAGTCAACACATACAGTGTGAAAATATGCAAACAGCTATACTAATCAGAGCAAATGCCCTGAGAGCCTTGTTGACAGAAGCCCCAGGGGAGCCTGGTGGAACAGCAGACCTTGGATCA